GAGGCAGAGGGAAGTGTCACTGCTGACACTTTACAGCTGGGGAAGCTGAAGCATTGGAAAATATATTTCCTCATTATTGCTTGGTATGTCCATGATAAAAACTAGAATTTTTGGCTTCATGCATTTTTTTTCATTACTCCTTTTGAGAACAGTAAGATTTGGTCTAGTTTGTAGGTACATAGTAACAAAATACAGTGGCCTTAGGTGTTGTGGGTTTTTTTTAACAATACAATGAAACATCAAAAAGCCTGTTTTCTTGGCTATAAAGTGGTGGTCATATATTTAAAATTACATATTGGGGAGGTTTGAGGGTGAAGGTTTGCTGGTATCTTAGAAAATGATCCTGTTTTTTGGAAGGAAGCATGACTTTGGGATTCTGTTTCATAAGTTATACCAGATTCAAGAGCACATAATGTGACTATGCTCTGGAGATAATAAATTCTGCTGGTAGCCTTCTGTCAAAATCACATTAAGAAATTTAAATTATAATGTGACTGTAATTTCATTACTAAGACTGCCAATTAGCAGCCAAGCATTTCCTTCAACTCCTTGTTGTTTTAGGTAAAGTGACCAGTGTGGGAAACATCAGTGGCTTTAGGTAAATGGTGTTTGATGAGGTAATTAGCTGAATACTGCAGGAATACATTTTGAAGCTTTGAACTGTGACCTTTTGGCATGAAAATTAATTGATACTTCATTTTGTAGGTGAGGACTTATCTTTGTTCTGTGTTAGTCTCCCATAGAAAGTTTTATACTACAAACTTACGCAATGGTTTATTGATCAGATATTTAACAATTTTTGTTTATTCAGCCTTGCAAACAACTCTAGGAGGTGCCAGATCCCCAGAGGGAGAATCTTGAATCAGTGTTTGAGGCTGTTCATGTGAGGATATTTCTCTTGGGAGCCTATATGTGTGTTTAGACATAACTGTATTTTCACACCTTGAAAATAAGCCAAAGGAGTCAAGTAATGCTTTTAGAATGTAGAGCTGTCCAGGGCTTTTGTAAATAAGAGCTATATCAGAAGGCAAGGAAGATCATTGTTAAAGGTTTGCCTTCTTTGGTCTCAAGATTTTGGCTGCAGAATGGAGAATAATCACAGTGTGTGTGATGTGCCCCATTATTTCTTATCTCAGAAAATCACAGAATATTAGAGTTTGGAAGGGACCTCTGAAGATCATCAACCCCCCTGCCTGAGCAGAAAAAAACAAACACAACAACAAAACAAACTACTAGGGCAGATCACTCAGAAACACATCCAGACAAGTCTTGAAAGTCTCCAGAGAAGCAGACTCCACAACCTCTCTGGGGAGCCTGTTCCAGTGGTCTGTAACCCTTGCAGTAAAGAAGTTCTTATGTTGAGGTGGAACTTCCTGGGCTTGAGTTTGAGTCCATTGCCCCTCGTCCTATCACAGGGCCCAAGTGAAAAGAGGTTGTCCCTGCCTTCTTGATGCCCAGCCCTCCTCTAAACTGCAAAGCCCCTGGACTCTCAGCCTTTTCTTGTAAGGCAGGTGTTCCAGTCCCTTAATCATCCTTGTGGCCTCCATTGGACTCTCTCAAGTAAATCCCTGTCCCTCTTGAACTGGGGAGCCCAGAACTGGACACAATACTCCATGTGAGGTCTCACCAGGGCCAAGTAGAAGGGGAGGAAAGTTATTCTTACAGACTTTTAAACAGTTTATCTTTGGATGACCTATTGGCTGCCAGGAATAATTTCTTTTTACTGTTCTATTAGTGGAGAATAATCCCTACAAATCCTTAATGTGTCAGGTGTCAGTCTAAGTCTGTTCAGCCAGACTTGCATAGTCCTAATCTAGGTCATCATCCACTGGCAGACACCATTCTTAAGTCATCTATTTGAGGGGAAGGAGGGAGTTTTTACATATGTATTTTTTAAATGTATGTAATTACTGAAGAAAAGAGAGACAGAAAACCATTTTGGGGAGGCTGAGGTGGCCCTGTGTACTACTTATTTTCATGTGTAGCTTACTCTCTTTTTAAAGAAAGCTTTTCTTTCACCCGCGAGCCTGTGTTAGCTGAGTCTGTAGTGACAATTCCTGGCTTCTCAGTTACAAAGTGTTAATTGTGGCTACCTGCTCCGACCTGTGGTGTGTTGGAGTTGTGAATGTCAACAGCAAGTGAGATCTTCAGCCTGCCTTGGTGAGTGAGCCAGCTTAACGTTGTGCAAGAGCTGAGCTAACATTGCACCTTGCTACAACAGCTGCTGGCTGCTGTTAATAAATCCCTCACTTTAAAGAGCCATACACAAGTCAGTTTAAGATTTGGATGGTGGAACAGTTTGGGGTTTGGGTTTATTTTTTGTATGGGGAGACATTATTGAAAGAGCAGCAAATGTCTTTAAAAAGACTATTACTCATACTATGTATGTTGTAAGAAACAAGACTTGAGTCTGCAGGAATATAAGCTGAAAACAACAGTAATCGCAAAAAAATGCAGGTTATTCATTTTACTAATGATTTGAAGAATTTGAGTTTTAAACTATCTGGGCATTTATTTGAGACAGGAGCTGTGAAGCTATTTGTATGTGATAGGCTCTAAAATGAATAAATAAACTTGATATTTTCCAGGCAGGGTTTTAGTAGCAGGGAGCTGACAAGCAAGAAGACTCATTGTCTCTAATTACTGGACTGTGCCAAAGATGTGCTCCTTCAGCACAAATAGTTCCCATTGTTTTTAGGGCAATATTCCCAGTACTGCACCCTGTGTTATTCCTTGTGTAAAACCCCATCTTTCCACCACATTGTGGGTAGACTCCATCCAGCAATGGGCTGGATGTATCCTTAGCACAGTTTATGGTAATTCCTGTATCTGTGGAAGCTCAGTGTATGGTGGAGAACGTGTGTTATTTCACTCCTTCCTTGTGGATTTCCATATTACAGACAGTGGCAATCGCTTGTGTGGAAAGAGGTAAATAAAAGAGCAACAGTGCTTAGGTGTGGATGGTGAAGCAGAGCAAGAGGTGGAGTTTTTCAGCAACTGTTGAAGGTCTGCACTGCAATTAGACTTAGTGTTAGCCAAAGATCTTTTTGTTTACAGTGGACATTTTCCTCCAGGGAATGGAGCAACCGTAGCTCAGTTACTGTGATAATTTGAAATGTTCCTTTCCTTTGCTACAAGTTTAGGCTGAACTGAAATGTGGGACCTAGCAACTGGTGTTTGCGTGACGCTTGGTCTGCCTTTATTAGACCAACTGTTGTATCTCATATTGTTCCTGTAAGGGCTCTGTTTATAACTGCACATTTATCTTCTACGCGAAATGCATTTGTGTTCTGAATGGGTGTTCTTTACAACAGTTGTAAATTTAACTGGTTTGTTTAATCAATACAACAGGATACTTCCTAGAAAACTTTCAGTTTTAAATGCTTTTGTTACCTTTTCATTTAGATTTTCAAACATCTCTTCCTCAAAACTTGAATTATTTAAACAGAACATGATTTGTTAGTTGTTAATTGCATCAGATTTCTGTGCACAGAACTGGATCAGAGAAGTTCCCTTCCAGAAGTTTGCATTAAGTCTGTTATAGTACAACTTCCCATAATGACAAACTTAGGACTAAATGTTTAGTAGTGAGATGGGGAAAGGTGGCACCTTACTTCCCAAACACTGACCTGTGGGGTTTTTATCTGAGCACTGTTTTGTGTTCCATCCCTACTAACATTACTGCTGTCTTGTTATTAAGTTTAGCCACTGTGTGCTGTTCTCATCTGCACCAGTGAGCTTAGAGTAAGTAATTGGAGTTTCCTTGGCTTACTATTTTTGAATCATTGTGAAAGTGAATATGACACATTTCCTTTTTAATAAACAGGTCTAGTCCTGCAAATAAGAAGTTCAGGGAGAGAGCTGGAAGCTTGCTTGTCTGCATACGTTGATTTCATTCTTTATACACAATGTCCTCCTGAGTTCAGTTCTTTAATTTGGTTTTCTATGTGTTCCATTCACTTTCCTGACACTGTTTTTTAAACTCTTGAACATGTTTCCTGCTTGTCTTTCCTCCCTACAGGTCCCTGCCTTCTTTCTCAGCAGGCATCCTGGTACCATCACTGCCCTTCTGTATTCCTCAGTCTCTGACAGTTACTCCTGGTTGCTACCAGGCCTGATCCAGATGTTCTGTCCTTTTTCCTGCTTGGGTTGTCTGCTCTTGTGAAGGCAGGGAAAGTCAGTCCATGTGAATGCTTTGACACATTGGGTAGCTACTGTCTAGGTGAGGTTAAAAAATAAACAAAAGAAAATAAATTGATAACTTGTCTGTTCTTCCCTGTGGCGCTGCTGAGTCAGTTACCTCATATGGCACTTAGCAAAGATCATGGGGCTACTTCTGAGCTCTGCCTGTACACAGAAACAGCTGCTGTTTAGTGGCACTTGCAAGGAAATCTGTGAAGCTTAGCTGCAGGGATCTGCTTGTATTTTCCCTGCCTTCCTTCTAGACATTTTCTTGGACAATTGTTTTTTCTCTATAAGTCTATATTTAAGATGCATTTTTTTCAAATCTAGATAATTAGCTAGTAAAATGGAATCCTGATGTACTTGTGTTTCTTAATGAGATGGGGTGAGAGGGTGATGAAATTGGCTTCCATTAGAATAAACAATTCCAAATTCTACAGCAGTTTTTCAACAGAGAATTAATATGCAGATTTGTGAAGATGAACTTACTACTCTAGTCTCACAGGGACTGGAAGTACTTATCGCTTGACTAGGATCTGATATGCTACTGGACAAGATTTGCCAGTTAAGTAGGCAATTAGTTAGCTGTTAGTTATGTAAATATAGTAGCTATCACCTGCAATAAACACATAAAGCTATGTAATCCCTTCACTTCAAATTGAAATACTAAGTTCTGCTTCGAAAATCACAAGCAGCCTCTGGGTTGTTGAGCATTTACATGCTTGTTACCAGCACAGTTGCTTTCTGAAGCTACTAAATCCTAGGAGAGGGAGAGAAAAATTGTTGGACTTGAACTTTATTTTTATTCACAGAAAAATGATGAAAATGGCAACTGCTCAGGCGAAGGTATTGAGTTTCCAACAACCAACTTGTACGAGCTGGAGAGCAGAGTTTTAACGGATCACTGGTCCATACCCTACAAGCGGGAGGAGTCTCTAGGCAAATGCCTGATTGCATCCACCTACCTGGCAAGACTAGGTGAGTTCTCTTTCTGCACATCCAAAGATTACCTCTTCCAAGGATGCATAGACAGTCTGGTGGGCAGTGATGTCTTTCATAGTAATCTTACAGTTTACTTAGCACCCTACAGAGTGATCACACCTCTGTGAAGGTGATTAACAGTGAACTGTTCTGCCTAATGCTGTAAAAAGAATGTCGGCTTCTTTTTCTCTTAAGTGATTTGTTTACTTAAGCTTTTTTAAAAAGCATGTTTCTTTATGTTCTAATGGTTGTAGGAATTATTGTTTTTCAGAGCTTAATTACTGACTTTTTTTCATCGGCCTGGTTATTTTCCGTTAGTAAAAACAAGTTGTCATCTAAATCCATGCTGTACCACCCTTGTTTAACTGATTGGTTTTCCCTAGTGAAATGGTTATACTGCATTAGACTTGAATTTGACTTTTCTGCATTCAGTGCTTTGGCTGGGGTTGAAAGTGTTATGGAGGCATCATGCCCAAGAACTGTAAGAGTACAAGATAGTTTTTCCATCATGCCTGTTGGCAGACTAAAAGGAGGTTATAATCTGTTGGAAAAATTGAAGTTATTAGTTGGTTCTGGTCTGCTTCTTAGTTTCTAACCTGTGTTAAAAGGGTGTGCTTAGATTTGGCTTTGGGTATAGGCTGTGAAGCATCAGAAATGATCTAAAGTTAGTATCCAAGTTATAAACTGTGGAGGGAGAAATACTTACAGTACTAATAAGGCTTGAAGAAGTGTAAGAGATGGAGCTTTGGGAAACTTGTGTCTACAAGGCAAGTTCTCTTGACTCATGCTTTTTTGTCACTGGAAAAGCATGCTAGTTATGAATTAACAGTAGCACATTTATTACTGTTGGTTTTGGTTGGCGTTCCCAAAAACTGAAAATGAGCTCCCTGAGGAAATCTTAAAAAGTATTTATTTTTTAAATATATTTTTTTAAAAGCACTCTTATTTCTGTAAAGGTCTTTCTGATTCTGATGAGAATTGCAAGAGATTTATGGACAGATGCATGCCTGAAGCATTTAAAAAGGTAAGTAGGGACAGTGGACCAATTCAGTGTTTCTTTGCACTGTTCAGGGTGGAAACAATGTCTTGTGATCCAGAGTTCAGAAACTGCAGAAACTAGTGAGCGTGTTCTTAGATTAAAATCATGGATTATTTTCCTGCTTTAAAGTCATACATAGATTTAGATTAAAATCATACAAAGTCCCAGCTCTGAAATTCTGGCCAATTCTGGCACTTAGCTTTTCTTTTTTCTTTTCCCCCCTTTTTGTTTTTGCTTTTTCAAATGAAGAGCTCTGTAAGAATTAGGGAAGCCTTAAAGGCAAGCTTAAAGACCCTTGGATACAGCCATTAATGGCAAATTCAGGATCAGATTTCCTATTAGCTCCATTCTTTCTGCTCCTTCTTTAGAGGGTTGCTAAATTCTTTCTTACCTCTTTCTATGATCTATTTAGAATTTGTCTTTCCCCTCAATGCATAATGCCTAATATGTATTTCTGGTTGTTCCTCTCTGGGTTATTGTGACTTTCCTCTACAGAGCTTCCCAAACCAAATTACTTCCCAATATTCTACCAGTTTTGAATGCTGCCTGGTTTCTTGCCCAGTTTTAAGGCCACATGTATAAAAACATATATATGTGTACACACACAGGTATACACTTTTCAAAAAGAAACTCAGTCCTAATCTTCAAATGTTGAGAATATAAGTATTTTTTAGGAAGACAAATTCAGGGGAAAAAATATCTTTCCTTGTAGCTGAGTAGTAATTTTACATTTAATGCTTCTAAATCACTTGGTATTTTTGGCATATTAAATAAACAGTGTAGGTTGCTCCTCCAGAAGGATAATCTGTAGGAACCTAAGTCCAGAATGTGCTGAATTACCATTTGGGAAATATTTGCAAGAAACTCTGTTTCTTAAAATGGTACAAAAATTAATTGTATTGAAAGTATTAAGCTTTTTAACTCCCTGTGTTCAGACACAGCTAGCATGAATTTGCAAATGGAAGCTTCATGTTCTTTACAAACAACCACGTTAGACCAGATGTAAAGAACATATTTCAGTAGGTGGGAAAGCAGCACTAATTTCTTCTCTCTTCATGGTACATGGTCTTTGTTTTCCAATAGAAACTGCTCAAAAAATGTGAATTGGTAAATGGTTATTACAGCTGAATCATTGCAGCTTCGTGGCATGCCTACTTGAAGATTTAATAGTTGTCTTCAATCTGCAAACAAATGATTTCCATATTACTTGTTCTTTGCAAAGGTTGCTGTCTTATGTGGGGAAATGGAAAACAGTTTGCCTTGCTACATTATTTTTTTCTGTCATAAACTGTGATTCAAGGTGTTATTCAACGAAATTACAAATGTAGTTAAGTGTGAAGGCATTAGTGCAGGATGAGCATCTGAAAAACACACCAGTGTTTAGCACACTCCAAGGAAACATTGCCTCTGGAATCAGTTTCAGGGGTTGATAAATTTCTCCTGTTTTGTGATTGTGTTCAAACTTCAAAAAACTACCCTATTGGTTTGTTTTTTTTAGCTGTTGACATCCAGTGCTGTTCATAAATGGGGAACTGAAATCCATGAAGGAATATACAACATGCTTATGCTGCTGGTGGACCTGGTTGCAGAAAGAGTAAAACAAGATCCTATTCCTGTGGGCCTGCTTGGTGTGCTTACAATGGTATTTGACACTTTGATCTAGTTTCTGATATTTGATATTTCATATTTATGCTGCTGTTGCTTTTTAAATTATATTTAAGTTGTAGTGTTTTTGTCTCACAGTCTGCAGCCACTGCTTGCTGCAGGGTTTTGACATCCAGTACACAATTCATAAAGGGATTAGTGCTGTTTAAAACTTCTGAAAACTAGCACTCTAAAAAAAAAACAACTCGCATCTGCTGTCACTTCATTGTTTATTTTTTAGAACTAGTGCTTGGAGTTAATCTCCCCCTTATACAGATACCTGGTTCACATGGATATTGCCTATACTGAATAGGAGCTTGAGAGTGCTTTATACAGTGACAACAGAGAGGAAGGAGCAGGGCTCTTCTCTTAAACTTGATTTTTGGCTAGATCTAGTCAACCAGGAGAATGCTCAACTGCAGAAGTCAGGTATTATCACAGGAAGCTTTGAGAGTGGCTTAAGCTGTGCTGTTCATTGCTGTGGGCTTTTCCTTCAAGGCATTTAACCCCGACAACGAGTATCATTTCAAGAACAGAATGAAGGTTTGCCAGAGAAACTGGGCAGAAGTCTTCGGGGAGGGAAACATGCATGCTGTCTCACCCATATCCACTTTTCAGAAGGTGAGCATGGCCGTGCCCTGAAACCTAGTTGTTTGATTAGTAGGTATTTATAACAAAAGAAGGCTTAAATGTGTCATCAAGAATTGCAGCAAATGCTGGTGCATGCATTTGGGGCGTGGGTTAGTGGGCTGAGTGTGTCTGTCCACACTTCTGTTTCAGAAGACAGATATTTACCATTGATTGTTGCAGCTACTAATTTGTTAATATTTTGATTGTTCAAGGAACCTCATGGGTGGCTGGTGGATCTGGTAAACAGGGTAGGTAAATGTAAACCAAGCAGAATTGTTATTTATCACTTTAATTCATTGGAATTCAGAGATGATTTCTTTCTCCACGCTTCCCCCTGACTTGTTTTTCCACTCTTTTGTGACAACCAGCAAAAAATAGTTTAAGATTTTAATCCTGCCTACATATAGGGAAGGGGCCTGTTGAGTTGCTGCCTTTGCCCTTGAACTCCTTTACCATAATAGCTATGACTAGAGGAAGTGGAGAGCTCAGCTAAAGGTGCAGTGCTGTTTCCTAGTCAAAAGTGTTGCTATACAGGCTTTAGCTTTTACCTTTCCTCCCCATATCCATTTTTACCTAAGACAGAGTTTCTAACCTGATTTGTATACTAGTACCAGGTATAATTGTGTGCCCCTGAATTCCCATTAAAACATAAAGCTTATGCTGAGTGTCATGTTCCATGCTAAAGAATACTCGTTGGCATCCCATAAATTCTCAGTGGAGTATTTTATGTAATAGTTATTTAAAATATAAAATACTGTAGTGCACTAACATAATACTGATGATTTTATTTCAGTTTGCAGAGTTGGGTGGATTTTCAGCAATTCAGTCCAAACTCAACTCAGAAGATATTGAACTTGGGGTAAGTTCATCTTCTGTCACAAGACTTCTCCCTTTTCATTATACACTTCATGTAGAACCAGTAGTGTTCCTTTCTGCAGTGTTCCTACCTTTCGCTTGGTACCAGAGCAACATTCCCACAGAGACCTGAAAAATACTGTCAGGCTAGAGGTCAGATGAGGTTGTGCATAAGAATCCTGACTGAAAAGCTTTTGAGACCTCACAGGAGAGAGGAAAGGTTCGTGTACCCTTTCTGACCAACAGTCAGTCTTCCAGTTAGACTCAATCAGTCCAGTTTCACTGTAAATTCACAAGTATGTCCCTGGTTTTCTGATTACTTCTGCTGTAAGTGCATTTAGCTGCAAGTGAATAGACTTCCATCATTAGAGAAGTCATTGTTGAAGGAAAAGAAAAAAATCCTTAGGAAGACAGACACTTTTTATCCTAAGCAGCTTTTGAAGAGCTCTGTCAAAAACTGCCTGGTTCAACAGTTTTCACCTATTCTTGGTGACAAAGCCTAGCTTGTTTAGTTTTAGCTTCCTGACCTGTATTCAGGAGACTTCATAGTCTCAAGGTTTGAAGAACAAGGAGGCTAATGGAAAACCATGTAACTTGGGTCCCTCAGAATGAAATTAATCTGCTTTCAGTGAAATGATATTTGGAGAGAATGCAACTTATTTTCTTGGGCTATTGCTGTTTTCTGCTTTCTAAAGAGAGAGGTTCATATATGAGCATTACGAAGAATAAGGAAACTATTTAAATCCTGATACTGCAATAGAAACTTTAATTTTGTTTAGTAACTATTAACTCCTTGCTTAGGATGAAAGTCTGGTTCAGCATCACTTAGTTTAGACCTTTGATTGCAGTGGTGCATGCCCCATTTCACCATTCTTGATACAATGTGAGAAGAAAACGGGGTTTATATTATTTATAGGGAAACAAATGTCTCTATACATTTAATTTCTTGATGATGGTTATCACTAGAAAATCTTAGAATACATTGGGTATATAATCCCAAATATAGTTTGGGTTGTGTAGGTATATAGTTGGGATATAAAGTAAATAAGATTCAAATCATGCATTGAAGAGATCTTGACATGCATGTGACACATTTAGAAAAGCTTTCTCCCTCTTAGTGCTTTGGGGAAGAATGTTGCCATATGGCTTTATCCTGAAGTCTTGAATTCACACCTCTCATTTCTGTAGGCAGCCAGAATGTGATACGTTGCTTTCTCTCTGTTTATTTCTGTGACTGAAACAGGATTAGACAGAGAAGACTGAACAGAGTGACGAGAGGACCAAGATCAGTGAAAACTGGAAAGGCTTTTTTTATTTCAGACAAAAATACGTAACACATAGACCATAGAGTAAATATCTTTCCTGAGCCATGTAATGTAAAGCAGTTGCATACCAAAATCAGTAATACTTTCATTCACCTCCACTTACCTTTTCAGCTATAGATCACTAGCTCTGCAAGGATGTCTTTCATGTGTGCCTAAATACTTGCTCTGTTTCTTTCAGGCAATTTCTGCATTAGTTCAACCATTTGGAGTTTGTGCAGAATATCTTAATTCTTCTGTAGTACAGGTAAAATGCCTCTGTTATAAGTTCTCTACAGCAAGTAGTAAAGCCTTGAAAAGTTGTAGTAGTTTGCTCAAATTTAGATGGAGTTCTCTGTGTTAAAGTAGATCTTGGGCAGTTTGGTAGCAGGAAGACAACTACATGAGAACCTGTTCTTTTTATCGTAGGAATTTGAAAAACCAGAGGACTGAAAATTAGTTTACAAATGTGTTGGTGTGAAACTGGTGCCTAATTCGAAAAAGCCTTCAAAACTCTTTGCATAAAGTACAAGAATCATTTTGAGCATCCTGAGGGTGATGGATAGAGGGCTCAGACAATGTTCAGATGCATTTTCTAAGCGCAGTGGTCTGTAGTCACTTATCTACAACTGCAGCAGTGAGAGGTTTGCCACTGCCATTAGTAAGCTTCATCAGTGTGAAGCATGTGGGAAAAGAATCTAGCCAGTTGGATGGATTTTGTTTGAAATTTAACTTTCTAGCTGGTTTGGATGGATTTTGTTTGAAATGTAACTTGCTGGCTGGGATCAAGCACATGGATATGAGAGTTTACACTGGAAAAAATTGTGGTACGAAAAAAAAAAATCACCATGCTGCATTTGTACATGCAAATATACCCCAGGCTTCCACCTACACTCACTAACAAAAACTATCCATTTAATAAGTGACTGAATGTCTTTATTTGAAGGGAAGACAGTTTAGAAGCCACTGGGAGTCAAAGAAGCATATGCATCTAAGAACTGATGCATTTTGAAAAATCTCATTCTTTTTTGTTTTTAAGCCTGTGTTGTGGTGTTCTGACCTGGCTTCTTTCTCTAATTGCTTCTTTTTCTGAATGTACCTAGCAGGATAGCTAGATGTATGTTGTAGGTGTTGCTTTTAAGATCATTGTGAGATTTCAGCTATGAATTTAATTTTGCTGTAGCCAGATCTTCTGAGTAATGTGATCAATTTCAGGAAACATAACATGATTGTCATGCCTTTTCTCACGTTCTTTAGCCCATGCTGGATCCAATAATTCATAAAATGATTAAATATGTACAGAATGTAGAAGAGAAGGACTTGAAAGACAAGGTAATGTTTTTTTATATTAAATATTTAGGAAGAACTTAACTGTGTTTCTTGGAAATGCTGGCAACATAGACTGGAACAATACCTTTTATTTAAATGGCAAAAATGCAACCTGTTCTGCACCTTCTGACATTAGAATAAAATACATTTAACCAATTCAATACCCTTTTCAGGAGGTATCTGATGTCTTGACCCTTTTAAAAATATTTTGTTGCTTTCCAGTATAGTTTTGTTGGTCCCCTTCTGAAGTGTACAGAACACTCCCTTCTCTAAGTGATTTTAAGATGTTGCAGTCTGTTAAGTTCTTATGGCTGGTATGCACACAGCTGTTGAATTAGCTGTTTGCTTTTGAGGATTTGGTTGATAGAATGTCCAAATAACTTGTAACTACTTCCTGTATTAACCTCAATTTGGCATTCAGTTCCATTCAATTTGAGTGTTGACTTTTTGCTTAGACTTAAATTGTTAATTGTAAACTGGAAAGTGTGCATGGGCTGTGTAACTACAGAGCAATTTAGTGTACAAAATTATAGCAGGAGAGACCACTTGAACAAAAGGTTTTGGTGTCTGAGGATCTCTAGTCTACAAGTAATACTTGCAGATGTACATGGTGCTGCATTTCATAGATTAAACAGCCTGGGTTGGCTCACTAAACCTACTCTTTGTGAATGATCTGAAACAGAAGAGTAAAAATAGCTTTTATTTGTCCTTTTTGTTGTTGTTGTTTTGGTTTTGAACAGAGACTGGTCAGTATTCCTGAGCTCCTGTCTGGTATCAAGCTGCTGTGTATGCGCTTCCAGCCTGACCTGGTAACTGCAGTAGACGATTTGCGGCTGGACATCCTGCTGCGCATGTTGAAGTCTCCTCACTTCAGTGCAAAGATGAATTCCTCAAAGAAGTAGGTTTGCTTTTTTTTTTTTCTTCTCTGTGTGGACGTGTATGGTGTGTAGGTGGGGTGGGTTGTTGGAAAGTTACTGAAACCACAACCTTAAAAAAGAACTGGCATTCTGTTGCCTCATAAATTGTGTTGCCTTAGCAAAAGTTTAGCTGATAATAAAAACCAAAACAAGCTAATGTGACAAGAGTTGTTTGTAACATTAGAAGCCCCTGCAAGGACCTTGACCTCCCAGTTAGACTAGACATAGAATGAACCTTTCCTAGCAACTGCAGTTTCAGATTGATTTATAAGCAATGGTGTTTACTATTCATTGAATAGTCACTCTGAAATAACCCTGATAATTCAGAGCATCCTCTGGGATATCCCTTTTCTCTCCTCCTCTCATTGAGAGAAAAGGGGAAAACAGACCAAGCAGGACTCAAACCTAGACTGTAATCCAGTTAGATCACAACACTATGTAATTGTTGGGGTTTTTTTATTAGGATTGTATGTGGGCACTCCAGTAGCACCAGGAGCTGGAGTTTATAGACTCTTCATGCTGTAATCTTAGATCTAAGTAGAAGAAGAAAACAGTTCATTTTTCAGGGGAGCTGTGGTTTAAGTATAGAGTTGTTCATTCATCTCTTCCTTCCACAACTTGTACAATTCAAGTGTCCCCAGAAAAAGACACTTATTTTTAGTCTGCAGGCACTGTAAGGTGTTTTAGAGTCCCTCTTTGGGATTTAGCTTCTTTATTTATGGAAAAAAATTGAGATGTTAAACCTCATTGATGTTTGGTTCTTAATCGTAAATGCCACATATCCTTGGTGAAGTTATAAAAGTGCAGCTTTTGAAGGTGTTAGCAGAAATGTACTCTTGTCTCCCTGGAGTGAGGAGCCCACATGAATTCTGTATTGGATAAAAAGTAGGACACTGACAGTAACAAGCAGAAGCCTGAGATAACCTACTTCTGGTATATCTGTAGAAATACATACCTGGCAGCACAGGCCAGCTTTTCTATGTCACACTGGGAATAAGAATCTACTGCATCAGAGACTGGTGGGAAGGAGGTGTTTCTGGTTAAGAATTTGCCTTCAAGCAGCTTATTAAAAAACAAACAAACCAAACATGAAAGCACACAAAAGAAACAAACAAAAAACCACAAACAACCAGAACAATGACAAAGAAACCAAAACCCAAACACCTTCTGTGCTCAGAATACTTGAGGATTCATGCTTAAGCTTTGCAGTGAGCCTTTGGAATAGATTTTGTTGTGTGCAGGTGTCATGCCTTTGGGGGTCATTGTTAGAATCTCACATTTTGCAATTTCTAGGTAACAAAATTAATAGAAGACAGCACTGTGTCCAAGTCAGTGAAGAATGCCATAGATACAGACAGATTACTAAACTGGCTAGTAGAAAATTCTGTCCTGTCTATTGCTCTAGAAGGTAAGTGCTTTACAAAGACTTTTGACATGTGCTCTGAATGTCTTAAACTTTAAAATGTCATTTGTCCCTTACAGCATATTGTAATGGAATGTTATTAACAAAGGAGTTCAAGGGTTTTGTCATCTTCAACAGAGAGTAAGAAAAACTCTGCAAATTCTGCATTTGTCATCTAGTCCTCTATTTGACATCAGTGCAGATGTTTTCTGCTGTACCTGGGGTTTTTACTCCTCACTTATCTTGATATATATTTAGGCCCTAGAAAAGAAGTTTAGGGTTTTTTCTAAGTTGTGAGGCCCCAGATCTATGAAGTAAAGCAAAATAAAAATGGAAGGAGCCTTTTCTTTGAAATGATACATGTGTCTCTAACAGTAAAGAATTTTCAAATAAAGATAACTGTTCTTTTCCCTTTAAAAAGAATTTATGAAATTTAGCATATCTAATACTGTTTTAAAAATGCTAATTTAGTTCTCTGTCTTTGTTTCATAGGTAATATAGACCAGGCACAGTACTGTGATCGTATAAAGGGAATTATTGAACTGCTGGGCAGTAAATTGTCTTTAGATGAGCTGACTAAAATTTGGAGAATTCAGGTAAGCAGCCAAAACTAGACAGGTGTTTTTAGACTGTCTTACAAAAGCAGATATTCTAGCAGTGGGATTTTTTGGTTTATGATCTAGACACTCTTTATTGCAAAGGGGAGGTGTTGAGATTTTAACAATATAATTAATGTAAAGGCTTTCTTCTGCTTCTTTCTGTATCATTTAAAATCAAGTGTTCTGGCCATTTCTTGTGATACAGCTGCTAAATCTTAGCATGAAGTTCAGGTCTTTGAAAGAAGTATTAAAGGGCTGCAAAAATATTTGACTTGGAATAAGAAGTTGTCAGTCTACAATAGGTGGTAGAGTGTTTGTCTAGACCAAAGGCCATGCCTAAGAATATTAATTTTTTTGTGGCTGGAAGTATAAATTTGATTGCAGTTCACAGTGTGACTTTAAAGGAAGTGGGTTCAAACTGTATGAATTCCCATTTAACTTCCTGTACATGCATATAATGGACTGACAAGTCATATTTTCACATGCACTTCATGTATATTCAACTTACTGCTGTGTAGGAAAGGTGATTTGACTGCTAAATGCAAATGTCATGTGGAAATTTTGACCAGAAACCTAATCTTCCACTGCAGGAAATGGTTTTCTCCTCTGTCCAAATGTTGAAGTTTTAGCCTAAACTCATTGGACACTGTCAGATATGCAGTCTGTGTGGTCATGGTAGCAAGTCTTGCATGCTTAGTAGAGCTGATGTGTAATTCTAGCTGGCTCACTTTTATTCTTTAATAGGAGACAATACTTCCTCCCTGCTTCTGCTGTGGTTACCATGGTGCTCCCATCCATGTGGGAGGAGATGATGTGTTGCTCACTTGTGAGTAAAGCCTTGGAGTGTCAGGGTTGCAGCACCATCTTAATCAAGCAGTAAAAATGGTGTTGTTTGTATTGTTGGCATCACAGCTTACAGTGGTAGGTGCCATTGCAGCACCTTGAAGCTGCTGTAATAATGGCAGTTCTTTCCTGCTTTAGGATTTCTCCCAAAGACTTCTCTGCCAGGGAAAGAAGGAGCAGAGACAGTTACTCTAACCTTGTTTCTAACATGTCAAAAGGTGTTATTCTTTCCCTCTGGTGTGAACAGTAGGGTAATGCTTACATAAGATTTTTCTGTCTCATTTGGGTTAAAGGTCTATCTTCATGTGTTGTCCTTCATCTTTTCAGTCAGGACAATCCTCCACTGTGATTGAAAACATACATACCATTATTGCTGCAGCTGCTGTGAAGTTTAGCTCTGATCAGCTCAATCATTTATTTGTCCTAATCCAAAAGGTAAGTTTTCACATGAATTGGTATTCCTTGGGAAGAGAATAGGTGAGATATACTTGTGCATCCAGCCTACCAAAAGACAAATTCCTTGAATACCTTCATATTTTCTATATAAAAATATAAATATGAAAGTAGCTATAAAATAACACTTAACACTGTGGTTTTTTTAACCCCAAAGCCTGATCTGCTACTGGTACTGCTAATTAGATTTTAAATACATTATGTAGGCAGTGCTGGGATACTTTTTAAAAAATGAGATTTTTATTCTTATATTTCATCTAGTTTATAGTTTATATTCTAGTTTATATTTGAAAAAGACTTGGACAAATTCATACTGTAACTCCCAGTGACAAAAACAAGGAGGTATTCCTTTTGGGAACATATTTGTTTGCATTTTGGTTTTCCTGCAGTAAAACAATTGTAAATTGAGACTTAACAGACTGACAGTGCTTGCTGCTGTAACAGTGAATGTTGTGTCTTTGCCACCCAGAGCTGGGAGACTGAGAGTGACAGAGTGAGGCAGAAGCTGTTGAGCCTGATCGGGCGCATTGGTCGAGAAGCACGGGTGGAAACCACCACTGGAAAGGCATGTGAATGTGAAATACAATCTCTTTTGTTTCTTCATTAAACATAGGGTTGCTATTGTCTGTACTTCCTAGCTCCTGACTAATCTCACACTTTTTCCTCTAGGTTCTGGAGGTACTTTGGGAGCTGGCTCATCTTCCAACATTACCATGTAGTCTTATTCAGCAGGCCTTGGAGGAACATCTGACAATCCTCAGTGATGCCTATGCGGTGAAAGAGGCAATCAAGAGAAGCTACATCATCAAATGCATAGAGGATATTAAGAGGGTTGGTTTATTATTTTTATTAAGTGAAATGTTATCTAGCCTTGGTCTTGCCCTTTCTTTCAAGATGCAAAATTGCGTGTCCCATCTGTAAGTTCTTACCTTGGGGAGTCCACAAGAGGGGTAGTCTTTGTGTGAGCCCGTTTGTTAACCATGAGACTCATAGTAAGTCTCTTGCCTTTGTTTTAAGCAAATTTTCAGCACAAGGAGTGATCAGTTTATGGGAAACTACCAGGATGGGCCCAAGGTTAGAATTTGCAAATGGAACCACTATAAAGGTATGTCAGTATTTTATTAGCTCTTTTCATGTGAAAGCCTAGATTAGTGTTCTGTGAGTTCAGCATGTGTTCTGGCATGGCCGTGAAGTCTCAAAATGCAAATTGAAATTTGAATCTTAGTAGTTTTCTGTTTTAATAAAATATTTTAATTACTTTCTTCTAACATAAAGAAGCCATTCCTGCAGCTGCCTGTGCTAAGATGTTTCTTGGCAGCAGCAGAGATGTGCATGGCATACAAGACTGCATATACTCTGTCCTGCACAGTTCCCATAGCAGGCAGTTTTTCTTGAGGTCTGCAAGAATGCTCCTGTCTTTATTTTTCAGTCTGAAGTATACCCCTAAATAAAGAAAAAGGCATGTACTTTTTCATTCATTTATTTTGTGGTAAATTAAGTTTTTGCCTGTCTTGCAGCATCTGTAGAGGATTGTAGTTACTTAGAAGACATAGTATTTGCTTCTTAATACTCATCACACTTTGCTGTGTGTGTGTTTATGAATATGAAGTTCAAACTTTTGAGTTCTCAATCTTTGTAAAACTTGCAGTCTTTTCTTTTGGATCTCTGGTCCTTTCCTGTTCTTGCATTCTTTTTAATTGCATTCTGGCAAGGGCATTAACAGAGCTGCTGTGGAACAGTGAAGGAAAGCTGGCATTGCAGGCTGGAAGGGATTGGGGTAACCATACAGCAGATGTCCAAAAATGCCTCATTTTCTTATTTCCCTTTGTTAGGGGAAATGAAGACATAAACTGGGAGGGAATGTAATATTAAGGCAGCACTCTCAAATACATGAGGGAGTCTTCACTAGAGAGCTCTCTGTTATGGGCAGGTTACTTTAATCTCTCTTAAGTGTGTAGGTTGTGTCAGTATTTATACCAGACCTCACTTCTCTGAACAAGCACCCTCAGTACTGGTTTGTGTGGTCAAACTTTACAGAAAAGGAAGCCTTCCAGAAAAGTGATGAGCAGTTCTAACAATGAGGTAGGAGGGTTATTCTTTGCAGGATCTCTTTAAAATGCAGCTTAAGTACCTTTTGCTTCCTATCAGAGAGCTCCTTGCAGCACCAATCAGAAATTTCTCCTCTGTTAACCCTCAATTGTATTTCAGGTTCTTGTTTCCATTATTCTTGCTTTACCAATAAGTAACATCATTTGACTGGATTTGCCCTTTTATGCCCTAACAGGCCTGCTTCATCTCCCATGATTGAGGAAGGTGGTGGGTTATCTCTCCCTGGTGCAATTGAGTTCTTTTTGCCTACTTAATTTGCATGTTCTCTAGCAAGGAGGTGGTACTTTGGGCGTAATAATAAGGACAGCAAAATGGCATTTGTGTGTGTCAGAGGAATTCTTGTAGAAAGTAAAGGGCACCGTGAGTGTGGTTGGAAAGGGACCAGAAACAAGTAACTGAAGCCTTCAAAGCTCTAGTAGCTGTTGTTTTGAAACAGCAGCATTAAGGAAAATTGCTAGGTTTCTAAGAGTCTAAAAGGGAAGTTAAACTTTGTTTGGACATGTCCACACATGTAATTGTTTTTATCTTTCCTACTACTAGTCATCCCAGCACAATAATCCTCAGTTTGTGTGGGTGGTTCCAGCCTTACGTCAGCTCCATGAAATCACACGTTCGTTTATTAAGCAAACTTACCAAAAACAAGACAAGGTAAGAATATATGCAGAGATTATTATTGAAGCCCTTGTTATGTGTTTGTGCCTCTGCTTTTGTAGAACATGGAACCTAGAATTTAGAAGGGAGGGGAGAATAGAACAGTTTGACAAGTATACTTTAGTGATGTAGCATAAACAAACTGTTCAAGTAGGGGTGCTGTGTTGTGTGTTCATTTCTGTCTGTGCTTTTGTGTATGTCTAAATATGTATAAACCTGTTTGCTGTGTCAGGACTAATTAATTTTATTCTCAGCTTTTTGTAGAATAATTAACAGGCATGTCTCTGTTCAGAACTGAACAATGGCTAATGTTTAGACCAGCTGCTTTGTAATTGAATTGACATTGAGTCTTGAAAAACAAACTAAAATACCAGCGGGTCACATGTGTTCCACAGTGGCTGAATGGAGGTGTGGGACTTTGTTTGCAATCTGCAACATGTGTTATTCAGCTGAAAACACTGCCATCAGGGGGCTTTGGGTGCTTGGAAGGGATAAGACTGACTCTGGAGAGGGGGGAAACATTACTCCTTCTGGTAACACCCATCTGTAGGAGAGCAGACTGCTGTGTGCACGTGCACGTTTGTATCTTTTCTTAAAAACCTCTTTTCTCAATGTTTTGGGTGTTTTTGGTTTTTTTGCCAAGAGCATTATTCAAGATCTAAAGAAAAACTTTGAAATAGTGAAGTTGGTGACAGGAAGCTTAATATCATGCCACCGTTTGGCTGCATCTGTGGCAGGACCAGGAGGGCTTGTTGGAGCAACGTTGGTGGACGGCCGATACACTTACCGGGAGGTAGGAGCCCCTGCTTCTCACAACTTTAGGTTGTTGAAAACATGATGTAGTCCATCACTGACCAAGTTGTGTAAGATGGGGTGGTGTTTCAAGTTTGGAATTAATTTTGGGACTTCTGGCATGTATGTTCTCTCCAGTGAATAATTACACTAGTTTTTATTTATAGTTCTGACAGTTACATCTCTGTGGGCTCGTAGCCTTGTTGTTATGTTATGGAGCAAGGGTGGGCAAACATCACAATCTACAAGTTTCTTAGCAAAGTCTTTAGCTTGTCAAGAACTACATCTTCTCAGCCCAGGACCTCCTGTCTCCAAATTAGTGCAGCTTCCAGCTTCTCCATCAGGTTCAGTTCAGCTACCCTTCTAGAGACTACACCTTTGAATTTGGTGTGAAGCTTTGGAAACCTGAAACAGATTTGCTACCACGTTGAAGCCACACAGAGTGTGTAACAGTTTGTCACAAAGTTTTTGAGAATTAATTTTGTCTACACTGGTTGAGACTTAATAACTAGTGTCAAATAGTATCAATGTCACAAAAGTAATAGCAAATCCGAGGGGACTCAATGTTCAGTTTTAAAAAGATAATAAAAAAAGAAGTAATGTTAAAAATTGTGTAAAATAGAAATAAATCTCACTGCAGAAACAACTTGATTTCCAAGCTTTGCAAGGTGCACTGTTACTTAAAAACCAAGTTTACAAATAACAAAAAGAATTCTCAGAGTTCTTGTACCAGAAAGAAAAGTCTTATGCTTGAGTTTCTGTTTCCTTTTTCTCAGTATTTGGAGGCACATCTAAAATTCTTGGCGTTTTTCCTGCAAGAAGCCACCCTTTATTTGGGCTGGAATCGTGCCAGGGAGATTTGGGAATGCCTTGTAACTGGCCAGGATGTTTGTGAGCTGGATCGAGAGGTAAGAAGAGCTTGAAAAGCTGCTCTCTGTGGTTGCTGAGTGAGTCTTAATGGATCGTTAATAGCATCTGTATTTGTTGAGACATGTGACACATAAACAGCAACTAATGGCAAACTAATAATGCATTTATAGGCTTTGTATAAGATAATGAAGCCACAGTTACATGGTCACTTATGACTAGGATGCTCTTTTAACGTAAAATTTGATTGAAGGAGGAACCTTAATCAGGAGTTGAGGTGCAGGTTTATGGATGCTGGTTTGAAAAGGAGTGCAGGTTTATGGGTGTTGGTTTGAAAAAGAGTACAGGTTTGGGGATTCACAAAAGTGACATTCAGCATTATCTGGGTGAAAGCTGACTATGAAGATGAAGCACCCTAATAGTGCAGTACAGCCTGAATAATATGGGAGGTTGCTAGGAGATTATATTTTTAACATCTTCCTGTAGATACAATTTCTGTAAGATTAGTTACTGTGATATCTGACATAGTTTGCCAATTCTGTATAAAACTAAACTGTTTTGCCATGACAATGGGTAAAAAATACATCTCCCTTTCATTCACAGATGTGCTTTGAGTGGTTTACAAAAGGACAGCATGATCTAGAGAGTGATGTACAGCAACAGCTCTTCAAAGAAAAGATTCTTAAACTAGAGTCATATGAAATTACTATGAATGGTAAGAAAATTGACTTGGTCAACAGATGTGTTTTCATACCAGAAGTTTGCTTCTGAAGTCTTCAAATTAAGTATCCAAACAGTTCTATAGATCAATATAATAAAAGGGTCTTTTTCTACCCTTTTGAGTTTTCATAATTGTAGAGGGAAAAGGTCATCTCCTGTATTTTATATCTTCATTTTTTCAGAAAAGCATAGAAAGTTAGCCTGACATGAATTAAAAGCTTGCATCATTTTTCACTTTCAGGTTTTAGTTTATTTAAGACTTTCTTTGAAAATGTGAACCTGTGTGACCATCGACTAAAGAGGCAAGGAACACAACTGGTGAGTGTTCTGGCAAGGTTGTTCTTGTGTGTTTCCTGTGGCATCTTGGGAGTGGGAGCAGGTGAGACAAGGATTTTTTAGCAGCTGTTTGACGTGGTCATGTTTGCATTAATATGCAGATTGTCCTTCTGGCATGAACTTCGTTAAATTCTGAAACTAAAACTCCAGTTAAAATTCAGCAATTGGAAAGTTGGTGTGTAGCTTCTCAAACTTTGCAGGAGGAATGAGTGGACTATTTTTTTTATTAATAATGATGAATTCCAGTGTGCATTTTTTGCATCTCCCTCTTTTTCTTCTTATTTTTCTTCTCTACACGAGATTTAGGCTTATATTCAAATTCTAACCTACCATAATTTTTAGCTCTATGATCCTTCAATGTTTTTGTTAAATTGATGACTATATGCTAAGTAGTTTTCTCATAGGCATTTTAGATCTTTATCAGAGAGAGTTAACTTACTTTAAATGCACATTTTTTGCCAAGTTTCATAGTAGGTTTTGTGATGGTTCATTATGTGGTTAGTTACCATTTTGACCTTTGTGAAACAAATTCCCTTCTTAGTTCCATTTCTCCATGCTTTTGAAGTTTTTAATTATTCATTTGGCTTAACTGAGAATGTTCTTTGGAACATGTTTATGCACCTGTAAACAAGTTATTCTAGTACAAAAATACAAATCTGCAGCCGTCAATTTCTCTTTGCACTGTGCCTAAGCTTGGCAGTGTGTTAGAAAAGAAACATTTTGAGATTCAGTGACAAGATTGTTTTCCAGCAGATAGAAGACTGTTCCATTCCATTGGTTCAACTCACTGTTGTGTAAGAAATCCAGTCATGTTTTACTGTTCTCTCTTGCATAGAGTGTAGAAAAACTGGAATTAATAGGAATGGATTTCATTTGGAAGATTGCAATGGAGTCACCTGATGAAGAAATTGCCAATGAAGCCATTCAATTGATAATAAATTACAGCTATATTAATCTAACTCCTAGGTTGAAAAAGGTAGGGACTTTTACATTCATAGAGCCTTGATAACCTGCATGTTAAGATGTGGAATTTGTTGGTTTCTGTCAGTTTCTGAGCAATTCCCATGGAGGTTCTGATTCATTTGTACTTTTATCTTCAGGATTCAGTGTCACTGCACAAGAAGTTCATTGCTGATTGCTACACACGATTAGAGGTAAGGGACAAATTTTAATTGTTTTTGCACTTGCATCCTTCTTTAGTTTTGTATCTTTGAGTAATTGACTATAATTACTCTAAAGAAAAACATTTCCACAGGTGGTACTTCTGTTAGCTCTCCAGGACATGCCAACTGTCTATGCAAACCAGCACTTAAACTCTGCTTTGTATTCCAGGCAGCCAGCTCTGCACTCGGTGGTCCTACACTAACACATGCTGTTACAAGAGCTACAAAAATGCTCACTGCAACTGCTATGCCTACAGTAGCAACATCAGTTCAGTCTCCTTACAGGTAGGCCTGCCTTTAAAAGACTAAGACAGTAGACATTACCTTTCCAGCTGATTTCCAGCTGATATTGAGTGCTCATTAAAATTCTCAGTATTGGTAGCTGTATATTCTGAATATTTTTGCAATGGAATATTCCAATTACAATGCAGTTTGAGTTGCACAGAAACTTTTAAAAACCTGTGGTTTAAAAAAAAAAAAGACACCAAACAAAAAACAAAACCACAAGTAAATAAACAAAAAAACCCAACACCCACCCCCTAATGCCCCAAAAACCAAACCAAACAAACAACAAAAATAACCACAAATACACACACAAAAAAAAAATTCCACAGACTATTACGAGCCTGTTAGTCATGTAGTATTTCTGGGACAGCAGGGTTCTTAAGTATATGAGCACAGCATGGGACCTTCAGAAGCATGAGCCTTCTTCTGAAGCTGGCTGCATCTCAAGCAGTATGAGTGCAAACTTCTTGGCCTGTTTTCCTGGTTAATTTTGACTGAATTAATTCCAGGTTTAAGAAATAATATTTGAAAACAGCTAATTCGTGGTAGTTACCTGTGGGCATTGAAAATTAATCTCTGAGACAAGTTACTCTTGTTTTCAATGTTTATCTCTAGGTCAACTAAACTTGTCATAATTGAGAGGCTGCTGCTGTTGGCAGAGCGTTACGTGATAACAATAGAGGTAAGATGTGTTATTTCTTCTTAGGCAAGGTTAAGAACACAACTCCCAGTAGTATTAAAAATAGTAACAGTTTAAATATATCCAACTCTAGTAACTTTGTTGCAAACCATCATAAAAATGTCTTTTTCAAGGGTGGTGTTGACTCATCCTTCTCTTCCTGTAGGACCTTTACTCTGTCCCCCGGACTATTCTACCTCATGGTGCCTCTTTCCATGGACATCTTTTAACACTTAATGTTACATACGAGTCTACCAAAGATACCTTCACCATAGAGGTATGTGTGCCAGTCCCTTTTGATCATGTAGATACTCTTGGCTTTTTGGATGCCTGAACTGAACCACCATGTGTGGAGGAGCAGGAAGACTTCAATGAAAGGTTTTGTTTTCTCTTGTAATTTACTGCTTGAGCAGACATACTGAACCAGTGTCATTTAATTTTACAGGCTCATAGCAATGAAACTGTAGGAAGTGTCAGGTGGAAGATAGCAAAGATGTTGAATTCACCTGTGGATAATATACAGATCTTTGCCAATGACAGCCTGGTATGTTAACTACAAACAGTTCTCATTCTTGATGAAATTGAGTCAATTTTCTAGAACTAAATGGTAAATATTTTCTTGCAGCTAACTGTAAACAAAGATCAGAAGCTACTCCATCAACTGGGCTTTTCTGATGAACAAGTCCTTACAGTAAAAACATCAGGAAGTGGGACTCCATCAGGGAGCTCTGCAGATTCCTCAACCAGTTCCAGCAACAGCAGCAGTGTGTTTAGTTCATCATATGCAATGGAACAGGTACAGCATAATAGCCTGAAACCTTCCATCAGGTTTTTCCTGGCATTGGAGTAGTTGGGGGAGACACAGCTGGGAAGAAGAGTTACAGTAAGATGAGACAGAACTGTATCCAGCCTTTAGTTTTCTGGTTTCAAATTGCAATTGAAACAAAGCACTTAAATACACAATTGTCTTCTGCATGCAAATTGGACTTGATAATGTGTCTTCTGTCACCTGCTGTAGCCTGATCAATGTTTATTAATCTCTACAGGGCCTTTTAAGCAAACAAGACCCATATGATTTAATTTAAAGGTTGTAGATTTCTCAGGGGGAGAGATTTTCAGTATTAATAAAGCTGCAATATGAAAATAAACTGAGAAGCATCCACTAGCATGTTCAGCCCACTCCTGGTTTGTTTTATATATCAACACTAACTAACAGCTGACTTCAAAAATTAATGTTTAAAAGGGAAATGGGTAATGTAAAAACATCAGATGTTATCTCAGCCTAGAAAGTAGCTGGGATTTCTTCTGGTTGGCTTCTGGGTCAGTTGCTTCAGTGAAGAGCTCTCTTAAATTGATTGCAACTAGGAGAGGAGGAAAAGACCTTTGTATTTCTGCTTAATTCTCAGGAGAAATCCCTCCCTGGAGTAGTTATGGCTCTCGTGTGTAATGTGTTTGATATGCTTTACCAGCTTGCCAATCTAGAGGAGCCAAGGTAAGCAGACTAAGTGGTTATTAAATATTGAAGAAATGTTCACAGTGCAAAGTTTGAGTAGCTTCTTAATTCACAATGTGTAGAATTCCACCAGGCCACAATGTGGCTGAGCTCTACTCTGCACAAGTAACTTCTGGTAACTTTTCAGGATAACGCTGCGAGTGAGGAAGCTTCTGCTCTTGATTCCCACTGACCCAGCTATTCAGGAGGCTCTTGATCAGCTTGATTCTCTAGGAAGGAAGGTAGGGATTAAACAATCATTTTAGTGATCTTAACAAAAAGGATTTTACCACCAGGTTTCGTCAGATTATTATCTGTGAAGAGTTTGAAACTACTGCAAAGTAATTCTCATGTTAAAGATTATTGATTTATTTCCAAGCAGCTGGAGGCAAGAGAATTATTACAGGGATTATAAGAAATGTATTGCCAATTACAACATGCAGCAGTCTCAAAATATTTGTTCTGTGGCTTATTCCTCCTAGAAAACACTGCTGTCAGAATCAAGTTCTCAGTCTTCAAAGTCACCATCCTTGTCTTCAAAACACCAGCATCAGCCCAGTGCTAGTTCTATACTTGAAAGTCTTTTCAGATCTTTTGCTCCAGGCATGTCCACCTTCAGAGTGCTCTACAATTTAGAGGTAAGAAAACAAATTTACTTCTTTCTACTTGTATTTCTGAGCATGAAGGTTTAAGTAATTGTCTGTTTCTTGGGCAGGAGTCCAGCATGACAAGGTCACTACGCAAAATACAAATGTCATGTCATAGCCTGCTTTTTATGTGTGTGATAAATTCTACACAGAAGGGCTAAAAAGTTCCCCTTGAGAGACTTTACTGGGAAGCCAGGCCTCTCTCTTTGTGATTTGCAAGGTGGGATGAGTATTCTTAAGTGGAGAGGAACAAAGAAACATCAATTCCTTACTGTGTAGATAAAATTCCTGCTTGAATCTCCAGAAACTAGGAGTATGGTTTTTTTATTTATATATTTTTATTTATATATTTATTTATATGTGTATTTTTAATTTATTTATTTTATATTGTATATTTGAGAGAGTTGGCTCTCTTAAAAATTAATGGAAGCTGTTGTTTAGTTTGGTTGGTTTTGCTCAATTCAGTTTGAAACCAAAGAATGCTGACTTCAGTGTAAGTCTGCTGTGTTGTGTCTATAGAGGCTAAGGAGGAATATTTTTTAGAATTATTCAAGTGTGAAAAACATGTGCAGGGCTTTTACCCAGGAGCTTCAGGCCTGTTTTACCTGAGCATGTGGAGTGAGTGGGATACATAGAATATTTTTACTCCAAAGTATTCCCCTGAGTAACTTCTTTAACCAAAACCCTGTAAAAAAGGTTCTTTCCAAGGGTAGAGTGCATGGATTTTAAAAAATGTATGAGAGTTCAGCTGGTGTCATTGTTAGGACACTGTAATCTGCACACTTAAGGAAGCTGGACAGTTTCTAGTTTCACTCACAGGTCCCACTGTTTATAAGGACTCATTACAAATGTGGTTTGAAAAGCTTGAAGCTGGAGGACTGGTTGCCAGCAACTTCAAAAACAGTGGACATTCCCAGTGTGTGCCAAGATTACTGTAGGAATTTTCTTGCTGTTGCTTTCCTTGGAGTTTCTGCAGTCTCATGTCAGCTCTTTATCTTCCTCCACTGCCCTGGCACTGCAGTTGGGGTTCCCCCCTTTTCTGTACAGCTGGAATGAAAGATATTTGATGAAGTCTTAGAAATATGTTGACAAATGCTACAGCTGAAAGCAAATGCTTTAGCTTATCACAGCAGGAGTATCTTGTAGAACTGGCAGGATATATTACAGTATGACAAGACAGTTATCTGCTGCTTCTATGCCAGAGAAAATAATAAAAGCAAGTAATAAATTGCTTGCTTTTCTGGCAAGGAATGAGAAGTAGTAAATTGGATTAGACATGTAGATTGTTCCTGAAGTCCAGTTAAGCCAACTGGAAGAGAATTCCTGTCAGGAAAAGGATGATGTGCTCTTTTATTCCTGCAACTGGTAATCTGTTGAAAAGCTGGGAACCAGTTTGAACTGCTTTCTGAAAAAATGTGCACAGAAAATTTGCAGAGTTTATGAAAGAGATGAAAATTAGATGTTTCAGATGTTCAGGGTTGAATCATGCTGTGCTCTGGTAAGATTTGAAGCCTGGAACTGTGATTGCCATTCTTCTGACCTGTGAACCTGAAAAGGTTGCTGGCTGTACATGCCAAAGAGATTTTTTGTGAAAGTAAATGACTTCTGGGAGTTTTCTATTGTTTTAGGAGGAGCTGGGATATTTTGTTTGTTTATTTAGTGTTTTGGTTTTTATTTCTGTAAAATGAAGTGAAATTGGTGATAAATGTACATGAGATCTGACCCCCAGAGGCTGCAGACCTCCTTATGGCCATGTCTCTGAGCATAATTGTATCCTGTGAAATTTAGTGCTGACTTATAACAGAAGGGATGGTACAGTGGGGATGGTCAGATGCCCCTAGAACTACCTGGACCATCTTTGACAAAAAAAGCCACCCAGTATCTGCAATATGGTTATGTTTCAGAAGGCATTAATCAATAAATACGCCATCTGTAGGATGTTTTATGGGATACTGTCAATTGAAAATTTAGAAAGGAGAAGGATTTGGACTCTTAAGTAGCACCAACTGAGCCTGGAGACATTTCATGTGCTAGAGTGTGCACATGCACTCCCTTCACAAGTAAAGTGCAAGGAGAAAAAAAATGCCCATTGGTAAAGAATAAATACCTGTAATAGCCATAGTTTGAATATTTGTAATGTGATTCCTGTTTTAGTGACTACAGCTTCATCTAAGTATGGGGTTAATTGCTTCATTTGTAGTGGATTTTTTCCTGTTACACTTTCAACCTTCGGCAGATCCAGAATACTAAGACAGAGGAGTTAATGCATGCTTATTTATTCATTTATTTTAGGTACTGAGCTCCAAGCTGATGCCAACTGCAGATGATGAAATGGCAAGAAACTGTGCCAAGTCTTTCTGTGAAAACTTCCTCAGAGCAGGAGGTTTGAGGTTAGATTTCAAAACCATCACTCAGTTTATAACACTTCATTTAGTGTGGTTTCTGTTTCCCACACTGCAGCACACTAGTACACCTAGTAGTTTCTTTTTCAGAGAAGAAAAAAAAAAATGCACCTAGAGCTGTTTTTTTCACTACCCAGTCTCTGAAAAGCTACTGTAACTACCATAGTAATGGAACAGAGTGTATGTTCTTAAATGCCAAAATAAAGGTAGGCACAGATGAGCTTGTGAAGTGTAGCTTTTACTTAAGGTAGTTGATATTTGGATAGTTAACACTTTAAGTCTTCCAGTTCAAATCATGCAAGTGTTACGTTGTGTCCTCCTTAGATACCAGTGGACATCTTTAGCAGTCAAAGCACAGATCATGCAGTGGGAACCAAGTGAAATTTTGACTGTCTCCAAAATTCAGCCCCTTAGAATGGGAGTTAAGTCGCAGAGTGGGTGGTTTGGAAGACCTGGCAATGCTGTTTGTGCTTTTGTCAGGTGTATCAAGTATCTCTTGCTCTCTTAGTAATTCTTCACCCCACCCCATAGATCCTGAAGCATTTTCCAGCAGGAACTGAAAGCTCCCATCTGTAGATGTAGGAGAGAAAAATGGGGATATTAGTCTCCAAAGACACCAGCTTGGCAATTTTAACTGGCATTATCTGACTGAGTAGGAGGCAGGGAGGCTAGAGATAAATTGCAGTTCACTCCTAATGTAAAACATTTTCAAATGGAGTCTATCTTATTGATTTGTTTTTAAGTTTGGTGGTGAATGTGATGCAGAGAGATTCCATCCCATCAGAAGTAGACTACGAAACAAGACAGGGAGTCTATTCCATCTGCCTGCAACTTGCAAGGTAAGTAATTGCCTTTCATTAGAGAAAGTGCTGCTTTCTTGGCTCTTGGAGAGCAGCTTGTAATATTGAAGATTAATTGGTGCTTTGAGTTCTGTTTCATTCGCTTGTTGTTAACGTTCCAAAAACAAGCCTGATGTTTTTGCTCTGTGAATGTAGGTTCTTGCTTGTTGGGCAGACAATGCCTACCTTACTGGATGAGGATTTCATTAAAGATGGGGTAGAAGCATTGTCCTCACGGCCCTTCCGTAACGTCAGCCGACAAGCAAGTAGGCAGATGTCCATTTGTGGAACACCTGAGAAGTCATCCTACCGACAGCTCTCGGTGTCTGACAGATCCTCCATTAGGGTAGAAGAAATCATACCAGCAGCAAGAGTTGCCATACAAGTAAGAAAGTGTTTGATGATTTATGGTGATGTAGCAGTGGTGCCTCCAGTGACACACCTGGTTTTTAATCAGAAAAATGTACCTTTCATACAAGTTCGTGCCCAGGCTCCGTTTAAAAACCTCTGAAGATCCTGACCATCAGTCTTCCTTCCCAATCTTGATTTGAATTTTAAGTCTCAGGAATTATTTTGGCAGTACAAAGGGAAAACAGTACCCTGAAAGTGGTTACCAGAAATAGATCTACCCAGAAATCTTGTGATTTATTTTCAGTCATGCTTAACTCTAAGATCTTATTCTTCTTATTTTTCTGTGACTAGAAAGGAGATTCCTGCTTGAAGTAGTAGTCTGAAGTGTGTATTTCTTCAAGTTAGACATTTGGGGCAAGTTTTTATTTGTTTCAAATAGCTCTTTAAAAAATTAAATTTGCTTGATGGTGCTCTGGGGAAAAAGGAGATTTTTCAATACCTCAAGAAAATGCTGTTTTCCCCTTTATAGGTGTGTCAGTGTAATTAATCTGAGACTGGCTATTTATTAAAACACTCTTAACCTGACAAGAACTCAGCACGTTTGAAACTTGAGTCTGGTTGAAAGAAACTTCACTCTTTGATGTAAGGAATATGCTATGAGAGGTTCTTTGGCAGTGAACAAATGGATCAATATGATTTGAAATCAGCATGGCTAACTCCAGAGAGTTTAAAAGTCTGCCTTAATGGAGAGTTTAAATCTGAACTGATTCCTATTAAGGGGACAATCTTGGTCTCTCCTTGGGAACAAAAACGTTTGTGTATCCTGGAGCCTGCTTAGAGCAGAGAGGAAGACAAATCCAAATGTCAGTTTGATGTAATCCAGGAGATACATTCCTCTCATCCCTGTGATTGACAAGTGGTGTTGAATATCACGGAAGTAACTGCTGGTTCTTGTTCCTTCAGACTATGGAGGTGAATGACTTCACGTCCACAGTGGCTTGTTTCATGAGACTCTCCTGGGCTGCTGCTGCAGGACGACTGGACCTTGTGGGAAGCAGTCAGCCAATAAAAGAGAGCAACACTTTATTTCCTGCTGGGATTAGAAGCAGACTTAGCAGCTCAGGTAGGTTAACAGTGTCTCTAAATCAATCTAAAGAAAGCATTTGGTTTATTCTTAATTTAACTCTTGCAAAGCTTGAAGCTGAATTCATTCGAGTTTGGCTGAATGATCCTCTTGCGTCCCTTCCAACTCAGGATATTCTATGATTGAATTAGGCAAAGCTGAGAAAAATGCTGCACGTTCATTTGGCATTTGGAGAAGTTTTTCAATTGCAGAGAATAGACCAGAAGTTGAAAACACCTGAGAAGTCTGATGATTTTGAACACTTGTTCATGGCTTATTGCAGGAAGTAATTGCAGCTCAGGAAGTGAAGGAGAGCCAACGGCGCTGCACGCTGGGATCTGTGTCAGGCAGCAGTCTGTGTCCACCAAAGATGCTCTGATTGCTGGAGAAGCCTTGTCACTCTTGGTCACCTGCCTTCAGCTACGCAGCCAGCAACTAGGTAAGAAGTACAATTGGATTACTCACTGTTTGGAGTACAAGTAAGGTGATGGGGGAGGCTTTTGGAGACAGACGAGTGCAAAATACTCATTATGAACTTCAAGGTTTGGAAGCTGAGTTAGAAACTCAGATCAAGTTAAAACCACAAGATTTCATGAAAAATTACAGGATTGTTTTTCCAGGACTGAAGAACAAGTGGCATGAAACAAAGCATGTGGTGCTGTGCCTTAGTGAAAAGTACTGGGAAAGCTGACTTACTGCCCGTATATAAATATTTGCACTGGCTTTGAATGGTGTAGTTCTCTAAGTGCTGCTGTTTGCATAGCTAGTGTTTAGTACTTGAACCTTTGTGTACAGGATGTGTACATCTTGGTGGTGGTGGAAGGAGAAGGAAAATGGAATTCTAATGTGGTGCTAGTCTCTGGTGAGGAAAAGAGATGGGGAGAAATGCAAATAGCTGTTTCTGCTTTTCAGTGTTAACGGGGGATGTCCCTTGGGTTCTGCAGTATTCTGATGCAAGACTGTAGCTGACTTACTTTAATGGATTCTTTTTTAAAAATATAGCCTGGTTATTCTTCTGTTCTAGGTTCTTTTTACAATTTGCCTTGTGTTGCTGATTTCATCATTGACATACTGCTTGGATCACCAAGTGCTGAGGTGAGAGTCTGTCTCTGAAAAGTCAGATGTTACAATCCTGAAACGTGGACACTTTGATCATTTAATATGGTCTTGAAGATAAAATTGTTCATTACAACTATTCCAACACAGATTTGCTTGTAATTGAATGAATAACATTTGTATAATTTCTAGTAATGCCAGTATCTAGAAAATGCTGAAGTATTACATTCTTTAGGCTTGTTTAATCCATGAGGCACAGGACTGTGCTGTGGCTGGTCTAAAGAAAATACTCTCATATTAATGAAACATTCTGTAAAACTAGTACTTCAGGGAGAGTATGAAGTAACTTTTGTCTCAAATTATTTGGGTAAAATCTAATGGACTTTTCTGAACTTTTGAGAAATGCTTCCAAATGTCAGAACCCTTGTAAAAATTGTTCTGTTTTAAGATTATTATGGATATTCTGAAATGTAGATACTTTCAAACCATGCTATGCTAAATTTCATTGCATCTCACATATTTTGTGTGAAGTAACTGCATCTTTTTCCCCTCATCTGAATTTGTAATCTGTGTTTAATAAAAGCATCAAAGCTTTTAGCTCAGGGATAAAAGTGGATTTCTAAACCCCTATAAATGAAGAAACCCTGGCTGGCAGGTGCAGAGCTCGTAGTCTGGTTTGCACAAGCTTTTCCATGTCTGTTTTTTTTCTGTTAGCTTTCTAACAAAACTGAAGTGTCATTTTTGCAACCTTTGAGCCAACTGCAAGTGTTTGACAATGACCCTGTTTCAGATTCGTCGTGTTGCCTGTGACCAGTTGTACACCCTTAGTCAGACAGACACATCAGCTCACCCAGATGTACAAAAGCCAAACCAGTTTCTCTTGAGTGTTGTTCTTGGTGCCCAGCTGCCTCTTTGGTCACCAACCAGCATCATGAGAGGAATCAACCAGAGGTCAGTCAGATGTGTGTGTGTTGAGGAAACAAATCTTACCACACTTTACAGTGAGCAGTGCTGAGGTGGCTCTGAAGCACAAGGGAGGAGGGACTTGAAAAGTCTGTAGAAAGTTGACAATCCTGTTGCACCCCAGCTAGTTCTGGAATTGGGTAAATTGAGGGGAAATAAAGCTGGATCCTCAAGGCCCTCTTCCTCTGTGAACAATTGTGGTTCAACTTATTTGACTTCCTGTTTGAGAGGTGGTAGTTGGTAAGTAGGGCTGCTCCTTCTAGGATGAGCTCATGGCAGTCAGAACCTGGCTGGGATCCTGTCTGAGGCACAGAGGTGGTGGGAGCTATGACAGTAACAGAAACCAATCCTAAAGGCTCTGGCCTTTTCAGTGGTGTCTGGACCCAGGACTTCACCTGATTTCTTGTTACCTGTTAGACCTCTAAAGACTGTGGCTGTCAGTGCTGTTAACTGGTCCCTGACTGGCCAAAGGCTGTTGAATTTAACAGTAACTTTACACAGGAATTTCTAGAGGAATCTGAATAGAGGAATAACTGAAGTTAAAATGTGTGGTTGTTTTATCTTATTCTGATAATTAATACTAATTAATTAGAATTGTTATGAGGAGAAGGAAGAAAGCAGGATTAAATGTTATTCATAGCATTCAAAAGTTGCTGTTGGGAAGGAATTTGTTCTGAAGCTGCAGCATGTGCCTGCAGAGGCATACCCAGACAGCTGTGCTATTTTGGATTAGATGGATAGAGCTCACAGGCCTTAAAAGCAGCTGCTTAGAAAAATGCTTCTGATTTTAATTTAAACTTTTCTTCTGTTTGTACCTGTTTCAGACTTCTCTCCCAGTGCACAGAATATTTTGACCTGAGATGTCAGTTATTGGATGACCTCACATGTAAGTATGTGTAGATGACTGTACAGGCTTCTGATTGCAGCTTCCAAGCATGTCTTCCTTCTCTAGAAGGAGTTGCCAAGTTGGATGGGGCTCTGAGCATCCTTGTCTGGTAGGAGGTGTCTCTGCCAATGCAGACAATGGTAGATGATCTTTAAGGTCCCTTCCAACCCAAACTATTCTACGATTGTATGATTTGCCCTCTTACTACACCATGAACTCAATATGACCTGCCTGTGTGCTGGCTGTCCTGTGTTGTCAACATCTGGCAGGAGCCAATCTTGGTTGTCAGTACCAGCAAGGCAGCTTTCTCCTTTTGGAAAGTGAAGTGAGTTCCTGTGTGGAAGCTGGACTTTGTACACACTGCAGGGGAAACTGCACCATTCCCAAAATGTTTTAAGTACTTTCTGTTTATATTCTGTTTTATATTTTAGAGCTGTTCATTTTTCTGGGTTTCCTTTTTCTCTTGCAGCATCAGAAATGGAACAGCTGAAGATCAGCCCAGCTGCCATGTTAGAAGATGAGATCACCTGGCTAGACAACTTTGAACCCAACCGCACAGCAGAGTGTGAGACCAGTGAAGCTGATAACATCCTGTTAGCAGGACACTTGAGGCTCATCAAGACCCTCCTTTCACTTTGTGGGGCAGAGAAGGAAATGGTTGGTAAGTATTCCTTTTTACTCTAAAGTGACTAGACTAGTGTGAAATCTTCATAGCATTAACAGATGACTTACCAGTGGACAGTAGGTGTGAAAACTTAATGCACCAGTAGAAGTGATACAGCTCTATAGGGAGGAATTTTGGTACTCTTGATAAAATATTTTGATGGTTTTGGTTACTATAATATGGTGCTATTAAGTGATTTTGCTATTACAGAACAGATTTTGGTATTTGCAGTGCTAATGGGAGTATTTAACAGGAGCTGTGGGTTACTGTGTTGCAGGTTCATCTTTGATTAAGCCATTATTGGATGATTTCCTCTTCCGAGCATCCAGAATCATCCTGAACAGCCATTCTCCAGCAGGCAGTGCTGCAATCAGTCAGCAAGACTTTCATCCTAAGTAAAAATTGTTTTTGTTGTTTATGTTGGGTTTTGTCCTAGATCTCATGAATGTAGATGGCACAGGAGGGCTACAGAGGCTAGGATTTCATACCAATGTTGGAGCATTTTTCCAGTTCTCTACATTTCCTACATAAGTGCCCAAATAGCATTTTTGTAAGTTTGTGTGTGACCCAAAATCTTAGTTTTTCTGCACATCCAAAGCCTGCATTTTGTTTGTTAGATCAGTGATGAACTGCAGCTTCAAGTTGCAGTGAGACCAGAGAGTAACCCCTTCAGCTTGAGACATTGGCTAAATTGGAGCATGAGCAGGAAATTACCTTTCCAAGCCCTTTATACATGAGAATCTCAAAAGTTCTGCTGTTTTGTTTCTGTAGAACTACCTCTGGTAAAATGCTAATGCCAAGCAAGTCTCCTTGCCCCTGAGATAGCTGATAATAGCCCAGGATGTATCAAAGGGTGGAAACTTTTACTTTCATACATTTTGGCCAGTCACAAGTGGGCTTCCTCAGGGCTCAGTGTTGGGACTACTTCTTTTTAACATCTCTATCAATGATCTTGATGAGGAGATAGAGTACACCCTCAGTAAGTTTGCAGACAACACCAAGTGGGGAGGGAGTGTTGATCTGCCTGAGAGTTTGGAGACTCTCCAGAGAGACTTGGACAGACTAGATTGACAGGCCGAGATCAATTGTGTGATGTTGAACAAGGCCAAGTGCCAGGTCCTCCACTTGGGCCACAACAACTCCATGCAATGCTACAGGCTTGGGGAAGAGTGGCTGGAAGGTTGCCCAGCAGAAAGGAACCTGGGGGTTCTGATTGACAGGCAGCTGAATATGAGCCAGCAGTGTGCCCAGGTGGCCAAGAAGGCCAATGGCATCCTGGCTTGTATTGGAAATGGTGTGGCAAGCAGGACCAGGGAGCTGGTGGTCCCTCTGTACCTGGCACTGGTGAGGCCACACCTCAAATACTGTGTCCAGTTTTGGGCATCTCAGTACAGGGAAGACACTGAGGTGCTTGAGTGTGTCCAAGGAAGTGCAACAAAGCTGGTGAAGGGCTTTGAGAACAAGTCTTATGAGGAGCAACTGAGGGAACTGGGGCTGTTTAGTCTGGAGAAAGGGAGGCTGAGAGGAGACCTCATCCCACTCTACAACCACCTGAAAGGATGGTGTAAAGAGGCAGACACTGGTCTCTTCTCACAAGTAACTGGTGATAGAACAAGAGGAAATGGCCTCATTATTGGATGACCTCACATGTAAGTATGTGTAGATGACTGTACAGGCTTCTGATTGCAGCTTCCAAGCATGTCTTCCTTCTCTAGAAGGAGTTGCCAAGTTGGATGGGGCTCTGAGCATCCTTGTCTGGTAGGAGGTGTCTCTGCCAATGCAGACAATGGTAGATGATCTTTAAGGTCCCTTCCAACCCAAACTATTCTACGATTGTATGATTTGCCCTCTTACTACACCATGAACTCAATATGACCTGCCTGTGTGCTGGCTGTCCTGTGTTGTCAACATCTGGCAGGAGCCAATCTTGGTTGTCAGTACCAGCAAGGCAGCTTTCTCCTTTTGGAAAGTGAAGTGAGTTCCTGTGTGGAAGCTGGACTTTGTACACACTGCAGGGGAAACTGCACCATTCCCAAAATGTTTTAAGTACTTTCTGTTTATATTCTGTTTTATATTTTAGAGCTGTTCATTTTTCTGGGTTTCCTTTTTCTCTTGCAGCATCAGAAATGGAACAGCTGAAGATCAGCCCAGCTGCCATGTTAGAAGATGAGATCACCTGGCTAGACAACTTTGAACCCAACCGCACAGCAGAGTGTGAGACCAGTGAAGCTGATAACATCCTGTTAGCAGGACACTTGAGGCTCATCAAGACCCTCCTTTCACTTTGTGGGGCAGAGAAGGAAATGGTTGGTAAGTATTCCTTTTTACTCTAAAGTGACTAGACTAGTGTGAAATCTTCATAGCATTAACAGATGACTTACCAGTGGACAGTAGGTGTGAAAACTTAATGCACCAGTAGAAGTGATACAGCTCTATAGGGAGGAATTTTGGTACTCTTGATAAAATATTTTGATGGTTTTGGTTACTATAATATGGTGCTATTAAGTGATTTTGCTATTACAGAACAGATTTTGGTATTTGCAGTGCTAATGGGAGTATTTAACAGGAGCTGTGGGTTACTGTGTTGCAGGTTCATCTTTGATTAAGCCATTATTGGATGATTTCCTCTTCCGAGCATCCAGAATCATCCTGAACAGCCATTCTCCAGCAGGCAGTGCTGCAATCAGTCAGCAAGACTTTCATCCTAAGTAAAAATTGTTTTTGTTGTTTATGTTGGGTTTTGTCCTAGATCTCATGAATGTAGATGGCACAGGAGGGCTACAGAGGCTAGGATTTCATACCAATGTTGGAGCATTTTTCCAGTTCTCTACATTTCCTACATAAGTGCCCAAATAGCATTTTTGTAAGTTTGTGTGTGACCCAAAATCTTAGTTTTTCTGCACATCCAAAGCCTGCATTTTGTTTGTTAGATCAGTGATGAACTGCAGCTTCAAGTTGCAGTGAGACCAGAGAGTAACCCCTTCAGCTTGAGACATTGGCTAAATTGGAGCATGAGCAGGAAATTACCTTTCCAAGCCCTTTATACATGAGAATCTCAAAAGTTCTGCTGTTTTGTTTCTGTAGAACTACCTCTGGTAAAATGCTAATGCCAAGCAAGTCTCCTTGCCCCTGAGATAGCTGATAATAGCCCAGGATGTATCAAAGGGTGGAAACTTTTACTTTCATACATTTTGGCCAGTCACAAGTGGGCTTCCTCAGGGCTCAGTGTTGGGACTACTTCTTTTTAACATCTCTATCAATGATCTTGATGAGGAGATAGAGTACACCCTCAGTAAGTTTGCAGACAACACCAAGTGGGGAGGGAGTGTTGATCTGCCTGAGAGTTTGGAGACTCTCCAGAGAGACTTGGACAGACTAGATTGACAGGCCGAGATCAATTGTGTGATGTTGAACAAGGCCAAGTGCCAGGTCCTCCACTTGGGCCACAACAACTCCATGCAATGCTACAGGCTTGGGGAAGAGTGGCTGGAAGGTTGCCCAGCAGAAAGGAACCTGGGGGTTCTGATTGACAGGCAGCTGAATATGAGCCAGCAGTGTGCCCAGGTGGCCAAGAAGGCCAATGGCATCCTGGCTTGTATTGGAAATGGTGTGGCAAGCAGGACCAGGGAGCTGGTGGTCCCTCTGTACCTGGCACTGGTGAGGCCACACCTCAAATACTGTGTCCAGTTTTGGGCATCTCAGTACAGGGAAGACACTGAGGTGCTTGAGTGTGTCCAAGGAAGTGCAACAAAGCTGGTGAAGGGCTTTGAGAACAAGTCTTATGAGGAGCAACTGAGGGAACTGGGGCTGTTTAGTCTGGAGAAAGGGAGGCTGAGAGGAGACCTCATCCCACTCTACAACCACCTGAAAGGATGGTGTAAAGAGGCAGACACTGGTCTCTTCTCACAAGTAACTGGTGATAGAACAAGAGGAAATGGCCTCAAGCTGCACCAGGGGACTTTCAGACTAGACATTAGGAAGAACTTTTTCACCGAAAGGGTTGTCAGACACTGGAACCTGCTGCCCAGGGAGGCGGTTGAGTCACCATCCCTGGATGTGTTTAGAAGTCTAGATGTGGTGCTTGGGGACATGGCTCAGTGCTGGACTTGGCAGAGTAGGGTTAATGGTTGGACTTGATGATCTTGAAGGCCTTTTCCAACCTAAATGAATCTGTTATATGAGGGGGACTTGCTAGGCCTTAGTGTTTTGTTCCTGCTTTGCTTCATTGTAGTTCATCTCATCCATGCTTTTTGGTTTGCTTAAGGTAAATAAAGCCTTTTCTTTGGCCTTTAGAAAAAGGTCTTGTGTGTTGTATGATCCATTGAAAAGAGCTCAGTAGAAGCGTTTTCTACTTGCCTTGCACAGCTTAGGTCACTTGTAGCAAGTCAGTTACCTGGTCTAGCTCTTTCAAAGCTTATCTCCCTGTAAATATTATGTCTTCATCAGTTTAATAGAGAGTATCTGTTCATTCTCAAACTTACAACCAATTCTGTGCTGTCTTTTTAGGGCATCTACTTTTCTTTGGTATGGAATGTTAGCAACATGTGTCTCCATGTCAGTGAGGGAGGCTTATTTAAACCAGTGTTTCTGCTGCTGCTCTTCTTACTCTTTTCTTCCCCACTCTCCTTGCCCAAGAAAGAAAAAAAATAATAGCACTTCAGTCTCTCAGGAATGTTTTATCATTTAAAGTGTTCCCTTTGAACATTAACTGTCACCTGTTCTGAGTAATATGACTTTCTGGAATTAGAAATAATTGAGTCATTTGCAAAACAAACCTCAGCTGTGGTTTTCTTTCCAGGTGCAGTACAGCAGACAGCAGACTGGCTGCTTATGAGGTGCTGGTGATGCTGGCTGATAGCTCACCTTCCAATCTCCAGCTCATTACCAAAGAGCTGCTCTCTATGCATCACCAGTGTGACCCGGCACTTAACAAGGAGTTTGATGTAAGCAAGAAGCCTTTTTGGATGTATATGAGTGTGCTTTGAAGCACTGTGCATGACTTATTTAAATGCTACATTCCTGAAACTTCCATTTGGAGTGACAAAAAGCAGATAAGACTAAATGCAGAGCCATTTGATCTTTCTCAGAAGCAAATACGTCAGTGAGTCTTAGTTATTATCTGGATAAGAAAGAAGTATTTCCTAAATGTCACTAATTTTATTTAAATATGTTTTAGGCTATTTTTAACAGTTTTGTGCTAAGTGTCAAATATATACATGACTAAATATACTGCTCTTGTGATATTTCAGAATTTCTATTCCTGATTTGCCATTAAATCATAGAATCATAGAAGGTGTGGGGTTGGAAGGGACCTTTAAAGGTCATATAGTCCAGCCCCCCCTGCAGTGCACAGGGACCTTGTTAACTAGATCAGATTGCTCTTACCAGCTAATACAAAGGTGATAATAAAAGCTATTGAATGTTCTTGGAATCTCAGGCTTTTTATAACTTCCTGGGACAAAACAATGTGAATGTGCTTGTCATTCTAGTACCTCCCACCAGTGGATAGTCGCTCCATTTCAGGATTTGTGGGACTGAAGAATGGTGGTGCTACATGTTACATGAATGCTGTTTTCCAGCAGCTATATATGCAGCCTGGTCTCCCAGAGGTAATTGGTTCAATATCCAGTAAATTCCTCTTTCTAGAATTACTGTCACCCAAACTGCAAGTTCATCTTTGCACCGTTTGTAAATGAACTGTTTAAAAAACAAACAAACAAAAAAACCCTCTGTGTGTGTATAAAGGTATACATGCAATAAATATGGGAATTACAAGTTGTTGAACAGTGTGTCTGACAACTTACAGTAATAATTTTGCCAAGAACCAACTTAATAAGGTTTTGTGTTTCTCTCCAGGCCTTGCTTTCCATTGATGATGATACAGACAATCCAGATGACAATGTGTTCTATCAAGTTCAGTCTCTTTTTGGTCATTTGATGGAAAGCAAGCTACAGTATTATGTACCTGAGAACTTTTGGAAGGTAATACATCTCTTTGTTTAATTAGCTAATTAACATTTATTCTGCCTTTTCTCATTTCTAGAGATGAAGCTGTACTTCAAAAAGTCAAAACCTAAAAGTTACACATTTATTTTAAAAAATCACTTTCTTTAGTGGTATGTATATTGAACAACCACTTTTTTATATGTATTTATGTAGATTTTCAAGATGTGGAATAAGGAACTTTATGTTAGAGAGCAGCAGGATGCTTATGAGTTCTTCACCAGTCTTATAGATCAAATGGATGAGTACCTCAAGGTAAAAACCTCAGGGATTTCTTCCCTTGTTTATTTGCATCTTCTTGGTACCTTTTCTCCTTTGTTCTTCAGAAAAGAAGGCAGAGAACCATTCATTTTATTTTATAATCTACATAATACTCAGAAGTTTAACATTCCTATGGCTTTCTTGGTGTTTCATTTTGCAATACACCCAGCTGATGTCTAACTTTTCATCTCCCAACAGAAAATAGGAAGAGACCAAATATTTAAGAATACTTTTCAAGGTATCTTCTCTGATCAGAAGATCTGCAAGGACTGTCCTCACAGGTACTGTTAAATGCAGTGCATTATTACCTAGTTATGTGCTCCTATAACTGTATTAAAACAAGGGAGGTCAGAATAGCACAAGGTAGAGAGAGACTTGTGCCTTGTGAGCATCACAGTTGGGGTGCAAATGCATTATTCTTTCTTAAGCACATCTTCAAAATGCAAGTTGGTTCTACAAGTCAATGCCTTGACTGTTTATCTTCTTCAATTTAGGTATGAGCGTGAGGAAGCCTTCATGGCTCTCAACTTAGGGGTGACTTCATGTCAAAGTCTGGAAATATCTTTGGATCAGTTTGTTAGAGGAGAAGTTCTGGAAGGAAGCAATGCATACTACTGTGAAAAGTGCAAAGAAAAGGTATTGTCTGTGAAAGAGGATTCAACTGTTGCTTATTAATTTCTGAAGTATTAAATGGTCATAGAAGCCATGCTTAGATACTGCCTGCATTTTCTACTTCAAAGACATAATTAAAAGGTTAAATCCATAAATCCATATGATAGCATTCTTCATTCCTTGTAACTTATATTGTAGACTGAACATGTAGAGGGATGGCAGGATGGTAAAACGTTCTGTAACATATCAGCCCACTGCACAAACTCTGTAATACTCTACACATTGTAGTCCTCCTATGGCCATCCTGCCCCCATGGCAGTGTTGTACAGCAGTTCCAGATGGCTGCAGTTGTCCACCTGTAGAAGAACACTACAGAATGCCTGAGGAATATAGATAGAGGTGAGATTCTTCTTTTCTTTTTAAGAGAACTACAGTGAAGCGCACGTGCATTAAGGTCCTACCCAGCCTGTTGGTGATTCACCTGATGAGGTTTGGCTTTGACTGGGAGAGTGGACGTTCTATTAAATATGATGAGCAAATAAGGGTAAGAAGGCTTTTCTGTATGGTGCCCACCCCCCTTTGTGAAGTGAACTCTCACTCTTCCTATTCTCATTCTTCCTTATTTTCCCCACGTTTTTGATACACGGATTTTGAGTGTGTGATACACTTGAACATGAACATGCTACAGTAAATAAGTACTTTGCCTTAGAGCTTTCCTTACCTGCAACATTCTCAGGGTCCTTCCAGAAAATAAGAGCAAAACCCTCTCTTAAAGACGTTTCATTTAACTTCTGTGTCATAAGGATAAAAAGTTGAAGTACCATGTTTTCCTTTGGTGTTTCCAGTGTGGGATGTATTAACAGAATTCTCATAAGATTACACTAAGTATGTGCACAATGTAATCTCTCTGTTAACTGAAATATGTCTTCCAACAGTTTCCCTGGATGCTGAACATGGAGCCTTACACTGTGTCAGGGATGGCTCGCCAGGACTCCTCCTCAGAAGTGGGGGATAATGGCAGAAGTGCAGATCAAGGAGGTGGGGGCTCCCCAAGGAAGAAAGTTGCCCCCACAGAAAACTATGAGCTTGTTGGTGTGATTGTTCACAGTGGCCAGGCACATGCAGGGCACTACTACTCCTTTATCAAGGACAGGAGGTAATGGCCAAGAAGATTTGCATGGGGGGGATTGACAGTGTTCTAAAGACTCCTTATTTTGGGAAGGTACAGTGAACAACCCAGAGCTCTATTTGCAGCACTTTTACCTTTCTTAACACCCAACGTTGTGTGGTCTCAATACTTCTTACATACCAGGTACTGCAGTTTGAGAGCTTCCCATGACACTTAGTCATGGGTGTTGTGCTGCTTTCATATTTTTCATCAAGCTTATTATTTTTTGTTTTAAATCAAACTTGGTCTTTGAATTAAGCTTTCTACTTACTGTCAAAACAAATGTGAATTCAGGGTTGTCATTTCTAGGGTGTTCAGGGTGGTTTGTTTTTTTACTGGGCTTGCAATGAAGCAACTCTTTTTCTGCTGTGTGTCTGTTCTGTTTTGATCACAGAGGATGTGGAAAAGGAAAGTGGTATAAATTTAATGACACCGTCGTCGAAGAATTTGATTTAACTGATGAAACCTTGGAATATGAATGTTTTGGTGGAGAGTACAGACCTAAAGTCTATGATCAATGTAAGAAGGACTGATTGATTTACAGTAGCTTTATATTCTAGTGGTTCTCAGTAGAGGGTAGAGCTCAGTCTATTATGTCATCTTTGAGTTACTTGATCTAATAATCCTTCAGATGTATTTTTTTTTTCTAAAATCTTCTTTTAATAATATTAATTGAACCACAGTCAGTGTTGTTCAGCACTTTGTAGACTTAGTAGCAGAGGACATTCAGAAGTAAAATGGCACTTTCTTAAAATAGTTTAAAAAAAAACCCCACAAAACAGGCCTTGTTTTAGGCTAGTGAAAATGGCTGAGCATGGAACATGATGTGGCATCATATAGTTAAACTTTTAAATGCTTTACAAATTAATTCCTGGTACATTTCCAAACACGTATTCACTTGTTTGAAAATTCTGAGAGTTCCCTTTTGAAAATACATAGGGTCTTGGAGAAAATATTTTAGAATTCAAGGTTTTGGTCTTCACTAACATAGCCTGACCCCTTGATCTGACGAATAACTTTGTGCTGCCGTGGTGCGTGTTCCTTGCGCTTCCCTGTCGGAATGGAGAAGGTATTGAACCTTCCCAAGTTCATCCATGGAATGTCTCTTCTGCCCTCAGCTAACCCTTACCCCGACGTGCGCCGGCGCTACTGGAATGCCTACATGCTGTTCTACCAGAGAGTGTCTGATCAGAACTCCCCAGTCTTGCCAAAGAAAAGCCGAGTGAGTGTCGTGCGTCAAGAAGCCGAGGACCTCTCCTTGTAAGTTCCTCCTGTGTCTGGAAAGGTTATTGAGACCTTCTCTCCAGAACTGAGAAATTACTGACCCTTCTGTTGTTCTGTTTGGGTTTTTTAAGCTTCTTAATGGATAGTCCTTTATTGCTTTTATAATTTCCTCTTCCATACTGCTCTCACTATTGCAGTAAAAAGATCAAGCTGACCAACAGCCTCAAGAAGTATCTAGACTGTCATCTAAATTTACCTGGAGATAACACTGCCTGTACTGGTGCTTTAAACTTGAACTGTAGGTTTGTCAGAGGATATCATTATTCACCTTGAGCTTGTGTATGTTTCAGATCTGCTCCATCTTCACCAGAAATTTCCCCCCAGTCATCACCTCGACCCCACAGGCCCAACAGTGACCGTCTCTCCATCCTGACTAAGCTGGTTAGAAAAGGAGAAAAAAAAGGCCTTTTTGTTGAGAAGATGCCTGTGAGGATATACCAGGTAGAGCACTGAAAGTGGCAGCTACTTCCTGCTCGTATGACATTAAAGGTCTTAGTAAGAGGAACACAGTAACTTTGAAGGGGGACTTGAAGTAATTCCCTTCTTGAAAGCAAAGCTAGAAAATAATTCTGGATCCTGGCATGAAGTTGTGACCAAGCTGTTCTGTGGTGCGTTCAGTTTGGCTGTCCCTTCTCACAAAGCTGATCCATCATTCTTTGCTTTGAAAAACTGCAGGCAAATTAGTTAAACGTGAGACGTGGCAGCAGGCAGCATGCAAGCAAGGAGAGAGAAGAGCTGAGAAGATGCTTCATTTGAAGTACTCTTAAGGAGTAATGGAGATGATGGCAAATTACAGTCATCCTCAAGTTCTTGAGTTCACAACAATGTAGAAAGGGGAGGAGAAAAGAGAAACCAAAAGCAGCTTCAATTCTGTACATGTCTGTCTAGTTTAGGTAATACTGGATATGATCTCAAGGGGGCAAACACAAATGCTGAAGGCAACATTTTTCTTTTCCCTTAATTGTCAAATGAATTCCCTCATCTGTTGTCTTGTGTTTTGTAATGTTGTTGGAAGAAAACCACTGGTTTTATACAAATCATCTAAGTCTCCTTTATGTATTTTCCCACCTGAAGGGGATTCAGAGCATGAACAGAATAGGTCTGACACTGGTTTTTATATACCACACATGTTTGCATAAAAGGTGCAATTTTATTTAGAGAAATGTACTTTGACAGCATTTTAATTTTTTGTCTTATTTTACAGATGGTGAGAGATGAAAACTTGAAATTTATGAAGAACAGAGATGTATATAGTAGTGACTACTTCAGTTTTGTTCTGTCATTAGCTTCACTGAATGCTGTAAGTACCTAGATTTTAATCAGAGTATTTGGAATGTGTTGAGTAGAAAGGGCTGCAGAAGCTACTTGGGTCGCAATCAGGAAAACTAGAAGAAAAATGTTTATATGCTTTTGCTTTTCTAGCTGAGCAATTCATTGTCTCCAATACTTTTTCATGCTGATGACATCTCTCTCGAAGCAGACTCCAGCCTCCTGTTCTAGTAGTGGGAGAAACATCATTGTGCCATAGTAAAATTTATGAAATAACACACACCTCTTTTAATGATGAAAACTGAGCTCTAGAGGGACAGAAATTCCCCTCTGTATCAAAGAGCCAAAAGTTGTTAATCACCCCAAAGCTGATAGACTTTCATTGGAGATACAGTTTACTAATTCAGTTTTTCTAAAAGTGGTGATGAACACAGCAGCATTTCTTAAATTTATTCAATCCACAGCTCTGGTGGGCCCTCACAGAAAGTTTGTTCCAGCTGTAGCATATTTGCTCACTAGCACAGTTGTTTATTCACACCAGCACTGGAGACTGGGGTTTTAGCACAGGAAAATGCTTTAGGTTGTTTTTTTTTTAATCCAAATGAATGAAATTACTTGACTTAGAACATGGTGGTACATTTGAGAGGCATCTGTCCTGCAGGCATACTTCTACTCTGAGGTAAATTTGCTATTTCTTTCAGACTAAGGTAAAACATCCTTATTATCCATGCATGGCAAAGGTGAGCTTACAGCTGGCAGTCCAGTTCCTCTTCCAAACCTATCTCCGAACCAAGAAGAAACTCAGGTGAGGCCTCTTCTAGTTACTCTAACAACATCTGAGGTTCTCAT